CATGCAACTAATTTCTCTAGTGCTGGGATGGGGAACCTACAATCTGCAAGTCAGTTCCAGCCCCTGGCTTGCCTTGATCCAGCCCACAGTAAGGCTTGGGGATTCCTCTCTGCATCAGGGCAAGCTGGCACTGGTGCACCAGCTCCATTGTGAGTTTCTGAGCATTGGTGCTCCTATGTGGCTGGCTCTGCCTAGCAGGGGAGAAGGAAGTGGCTCCGCACGCTGCTGTTCCCCCTTCTCCCTTTTCTGGGAGAACAGCTGTGCAGGGAAGTTCTGCATTCACCTCTAAGCTCTGCTCCTACTGGCTGGGAATTGTGGCCAATGGGAGTAGCAGGGGCACAGAGCCACCCAAAGTGCCTTTAATCCTTTACCCCCTCCCACATCCCCACCCTGTTCCTGCACTCCACCCTCAACCCACTCCTGCACCCTACCTCCCACCCAGACCCTTCACCTCATCTGCAGCCCGATCTCCAGCAGCCTCCTCCTGCACAAGAAAGGGGCTAGCCTAGAGGCTACAAAATCTGCTAGCCACAGGTCCCAGAAGAATTAATCCCAGATCTGTGGAGAAGCCCTAAGCCTCTATGCACCTCTCTGCACAGCAGGGCTGTGTCTACTCTGGCCACTTATTCTGGAAAATCGGCCGCTTTTCCGGAATAACTTGCCAGCTGTCTACACTGGCCCCTTGAATTTCCGGAAAAGCACTGACGATCTATTGTAAAATCATCAGTGCTTTTCCGGAAAAACTATGCTGCTTCTGTTCGGGCAAAAGTCCTTTTCCAGAAAACTGTTCCGGAAAAGGGCCAGTGTAGACAGCACAGATTTCTTTTCCTCAAAAAAGCCCCGATCGCGAAAATGACGATCGGGGCTTTTTTGCAGAAAAGCACGTCTACATTGGTACAGATGCTTTTCCGGAAAAAGTGCTTTTCCGGAAAAGCATCCTGCCAATGTAGACGTGCTTTTTCCGGAAATACTTATAATGGAAAACTGTTCCGTTTTAAGCATTTCCGGAAAATCATGCCAGTGTAGACGTAGCCCAAGTGTATGAGGGGAAACCTGGTGCCCTTAGTTGTGAGAGTAAGGTGTCTCATTCTCAGTTGGGAGCCACATCAATGAGGAACTTTTTTTCTCATCACTTGGGGTCAGGCCAGTGGGTGTGTGTTTGTTTTTGCTTCTGACTTGTGTGTTGCTCCCAAACTCATTTTTCTAGGGGTCAGAGGCCCCTACCCAAAAAAACCTTTCCCACTCCTGCTGTAGTGTATTAAGTTTAGCTTGCATCTTCTGTTTTGCTCAGTAACCTACTTTGTTCTGTGTTATCTCTGAGGACCACTTAGTCCTACTTCTTATACTTAATAAAATCATTTTCATTTATTAATAAACCTAAGCTATGTCTACACTCGTGGCTTCTTGCATCAGAAGTATGCAAATGAGGCTAAGATTGAAATATTGCCGAGCGTCATTTGCATACCTAATGAACCTCCATTTTTGCAGAAGAGGTTCTTGTGCCAGGGGGAGCTGTCTACACTGCCCCTTCTTGCACAAAAAAACCCTCTTGCGCAATGCTGTTACGCCAATTATTTTCAGTAATAATGGCATTGCGCAAGAGGGGTTTTCTTGCGCAAGGGGCAGTGTAGACAGCTCCTTCTGGCACAAGAACCTCTTCTGCAAAAATGGTGGCTCATTAGGTATGCAAATGAGGCTTGGCGATATTCCACGCTTAGCCTTATTTGCATACTTCTGACGCAAGAAGCTGCGAGTGAAGACATAGCCCTAGGCTACGTCTACACTGGCATGATTTTCTGAAAATGCTTTCAACGGAAAAGTTTTCTGTTAAAAGCATTTTCGGAAAAGCACATCTAGATTTGCAGGATGCTTTTCCGCAAAAGCACTTTTTGCGGAAAAGCGTCCGTGGCCAATCTTGATGCGCTTTTCCGCAAAAAAGCCCCGCTCGCCATTTTCGCCATCGGGGCTTTTTTGCAGAAAACAAATCTCTGCTGTCTACATTGGCCCTTTAGCGCAAAAGTTTTTCGGAAAAAGACTTTTGCCCGAACGGGAGCAGCATAGTATTTCCGCAAAAGCACTGACAATCTTACATGAGATTGTCAGTGCTTTTGCGGAAATTCAAGCGGCCAATGTAGACAGCTGGCAAGTTTTTCCGCAAAAGCAGCTGATTTTGCGGAAAAACTTGCCTTTTTCCACAAAAGCAGATGATTTTGCGGAAAAACTTGCCAGTCTAGACACAGCTCTAGTGTTTAAGTTTTGAATTAAGTTTAACCGGTTTAATGATTAAACGTGGGTGGGTTCCCTTGCAGGCTCAGAGCCAGCAGCCCTCCATCACGAGGCTGCTCCTTGTTCACATCCCTAGCCAAAAAGGATGATAAAATACATTCAGTGTTAATTTCATTTTTATTTGATTTCATATTAAATATCTTAAGTAGTGCACCTTCTTGATAATGCCTTGATTTAATATTCTTCTTCCATTTCTGTTTCCATCTGCCCATGGATGGAACAAATTATTGGGAAAACTGCCCCAGATCCACCCTAACCCCCTGCCCTGAGTCCCACACCATCCTTCCCTGAGCTCCCCCACATTAGGGATGTTACCGTGTAATTGAATGGTTGTGTAAGTGCACCAATTTTTTTGCTGTTACATAACTATTTGATAATCCCTGGAGGTGGGGCCAGCAGCCAGTGCACTCCCAGCCCCACTCCCAAGGAGCCCCTTGCCTCTGATACAGAGGCAACAGCACAGGGTAGCAGGCAAGGGCTGGTCCACAAAGGTTTAAAAACCATACAGAGGCAGCAATGCAGGGTGGCAGTAACCCCTGTCTGTGGGGAGCTCAAACTCCTGTGGACAAGGGCTGCTATTGCGGAGCAGTCTCTGTCTGTGGCGAGCTTGGGCCTGTTGTGGTGACTCCCATCCCCTGATAGAGGCAGCAGTGCAAGATGGGGGTGGAGAGGTGTGGCACCATGGAGCCACATGCGCAGAGAGCAGGCTTAAAAGCCAGCTCCCTGAGTGTAACCCCTGTCTGTGGGGAGCTCAAACTCCTGTGGACAAGGGCTGCTATTGCGGAGCAGTCTCTGTCTGTGGCGAGCTTGGGCCTGTTGTGGTGACTCCCATCCCCTGATAGAGGCAGCAGTGCAAGATGGGGGTGGAGAGGTGTGGCACCATGGAGCCACATGCGCAGAGAGCAGGCTTAAAAGCCAGCTCCCTGAGTGTGTTTGTGGCCGCCCCCCCCCCCCCCCCCCCCCCCCATGCTACTGCCTCTCTATCAGAGGTAGCAGCACAGGGATGGGGAGGTGGATCCTGGGGAACAGGCTTACCATCAGCTCCCCACGGGCACCAATTCCTGCCTCCCCTGCCTTTGCGGGGGAGGGATACATAAAGTCCACAGGATTAACCAATAAACCCAGGTTAATCATGTAGTCATCTACACACTGCCATCCCTACCACACACTAAAGATGTAAGCAAGTAATCAAGTAGACTACTCACATTTCTCTTCCCCTCCCTTCTGCCTCTATAGCAGAGTCAGCAAGGGGACAGGGAACAAGAGCCCGTGCTAAGCCAGTTCCCCCCTGCACTGTCTCAGTGGTGCCACCTGCCTCCCCTCATCCAGGCTGCTGCTCAGGCTCACCATGGGTAGAGCCTGCTCCACATGCCACAGCGGGTGGGGGAGAGCTCCTGGACCTGTTGCGAGCTGGAACTGAGATTTCCTTCCTTATTGACCTCACAATTAGATAATTATTTGATTCCTAATATCCCTACCACTCCCACACAGGCCCATCCGCCTGCCCCGCCCCCACACAGGCCCATCCGCCTGCCCCGCCCCCACACAGACCTTTGAGGAGCAGTGGGCGCTGTCCGGGGTTCTCTGCTCGGTGTCCCCATCCGGCTCCCTTATTTTGAACCTCTAACCCGCACTCCTTGATCCTTTTGTCATTATTTGTCCCAAGCAATCAGTTGGACATGGGTCCAGTGTCCCTCCCATAAGGCTGGGGAGGGGCTTTTAGAAGGTGGGCGGGC